ACATTGTAAATGAGAATGGTGAAAATGGAGAATTCCTCTGCAGATGTCGAAGTCAAGGATTCAAAACGATTTTGACAGATTAGAGAGATGGGCCAAAACTAACAAAATGAAGTTTAACAGTGACAAATGCAAGATACTCCACTTTGGCAGGAAAAACGAAATGGAAAGATACAGAATGGCCCGAGAGCAGTACGTGTGAAAAAGATCTTGGAGTACTTGTGGACAACAAGTTCAACATGAGCCAACAATGTGATGTGGCGGCAAAAAAAGCCAATGGGATTTTGGCCTGCATCAATAGGAGCATAGTGTCTAGATCTAGGGAAGTAATGCTACCCCTCTATTCCTCTTTGGTTAGACCACACCTGGAATATTGTGTCCAATTCTGGGCACCACAATTCAAGAGAGATATTGACAAGCTGGAATGTGTCCAGAGGAGAGCGACTAAAATGATCAAGGTTCTGGAGAACAAGCCCTATGAGGAGCAGCTTAAGGAGCTGGGCATGTTTAGCCTGAAGAAGAGAAGGCTGAGAGGAGATATGATAGCCATGTATAAATATGTGAGAGGAAGCCACAGGGAGGAGGGAGCAAGCTTGTTTTCTGCTTCCCTGGAGACTAGGACGCAATGGAACAATGGCTTCAAACTACAAGAAAGGAGATTCCATCTGAACATGAGGAAGAACTTCCTGACTGTGAGAGCTGTTCAGTAGTGGAACTCTCTGCCCCGGAGTGTGGTGGAGGCTCCTTTTTTGGAAGCTTTTAAACAGAGGCTGGATGGCCATCTGTCATGGGTGATTTGAATGCAATATTCCTGCTTCTTGGCAGGGGGTTTGGACTGGATGGCCCATGAGGTCTCTTCCAACTCTTTGATTCTATGATTCTATGAATTCCTAACAGCCTCAGCTCCTTTCTTTCCCTCCTTCAGCCTCTTAAGCAGCTGAGGGGAAAAGGAAGGGGCCTGAGGTTGTTAGGAATTGTGGGAGTTGAAGTCCAAAACACCAGGAGGGCCCAAGTTTGCCCATGCCTGATTTAAATGGATTAAACATGGGATTTTCTGCTTGCAAACCACCTAATCGATGTCAGAGCTACGGCCCCTTAGAGAACCCCCTATCATAATTTTGTTTTTAACTTAAGGACTCTATTGTGAAGTTTAATAACTGGAGTTTCTCTCTGCCTCAGCATGTCTCATCAGTGAGCATCAGCTACTACACAGAAATATACACCAGGAAGGTAACAGAAATCACCAGTCCTTGTGCCTCTGTAATGAAGGCTGAATTCCTCTGTGGTGCAGATATGCTCCGGTCTTTTCCAGCTAGATATATTTGCAAAACAAGAATGAGAAATAAATGCCAACCTATCTAGCAGGAGATTGACCTTACTCACTAGAGACAAAAGACAATTTGCAGGAAAGAAAAATAGTTTGCTGGGCTATTTTTAACAAACAAACAAACAAAAAACCCAAACACATTCCACAGATATTGATTTATTTTCTGCTTCCTACCCTTGGCTTCCAATTAGAGTTTGAAAAATAAATAAACTTCGTTTATATTGGGGGAAAAATAATATCTTTCCATATACTGGAGTATACTGGGCTAATATATAGCCTATTTTATATTCGTACTAGCTTGGGGACCTGATGGTGCCCAGGTTATTTGAAAAAGTCATTTTTTTATTTTAGAAAATGCATAAGATTAACCCCTAAAACTCCATCAGTACTTAAAGTTGGTCATGTTGGACATGTGTGGCAAGTTTGCTCTAGATGCGTCATCTGTAGAGTTCAGCGTGCTCCTTGGCTGCAGGATGAACTACAACTCCCACCATGGTCAGCCCCCTCAAACCCCTCCAAGTAGGTTCAGTTGGTTATAGTGGTTCTGTGTGCTAAGTTTGATTCAGGCCCATCATTGTCGGAGGTCACGCTTTCTCTGGATGTAGGTGAGCTAAAACTCCCCAAAATCAAGGTTCAATCCCTCCCAAACCCCTCCAGTGTTCAAATTTGGCCATATCATTCCAAGTTTGGTCCAGATCCATAGTTGTTTGGGTTCACAATGCTCTCTGGGTGTAGGTGAACTTCAAATCCCCCAAATCAAGGTGAATTTTCCTCAAAGTCCTCCAGTATTTTTTGTTGGTCATGGTGGTTCTGTATGCCAAGAAAGGCCCAGGTCCACGGTTTTTGAGGTTCAGAGTGCTCTTTGATTGCAGGTGAACTATAAACCCCAGTACCTACAACTACCAAATGTCAAGATCAATTACCTGTAAACTCCACCAGTATTGAAATGTGGGAATATCAGTTATGCATGTCAAGTTTGGTCCAGATTGTTCGGGTTCACAGTGCTTTCTGGGTGTAGGTGAACTACAACTCCTATAAATCAAGGTGAATTTTCCCCAAAGTCCTACAGTATTTTTTGTTGGTCATGGTAGTTCTATAGGCCAAGAAAGGTCCAGGTCCACTGTTGTTGGGGCTCAGAGTGCTCTTCGATTGCAGGTGAACTATAAACCCCAGTACCTACAACTCCCAAAAGTCAAGATCAATTACCTGCAAATGCCACCAGTATTCAAATGTGGGAATATCAGGTATGCATGTCAAGTTTGGTCCAGATCCATCATTGTTTGGGTTCACAGTGCTCTCTGGGTGTAGGTGAACTACAACTCCTATAAATCAAGTCAATTTTCCCCAAACCTCTCCTGTATGTTTTTGTTGGTCATGGGTGTTCCTTGTGCTAAATGTGGACTAGGTCCATTGTTGGTGAGGATCATTGTGCTCTGTCTTGATGCAGAGTGAATTACAACTTCCATCATGTTGAGTCAACCCCACAACCCCCTCCAGTATGTTCAGTTGCTGATCAATTCTGCTCTGTTTGCTCTGTGCCATAGAAAAGAGTAGGAAAGGGTTATAGGAGAGGCAATTGGTGGGATCATGCAAATTCCACACCAATTGAGAGAGTCAGAAACACTGGGATATGTGTGGTGGAGAAAACACATAAAATCTAGGATGAAATTGTCCCCGTATGAAAGCATTCACTTGGCTGGTGGGCAGTATTGTGTTTGTGGAGGACATTGGCGGGGCTCTTGTGCATGTTTATAACACTTATTGTAACCTGCAGTGTCATGGGAGGGAGGGGCGTGGTGACTCCTCAGAGGTGGGGTTCATAGTTGTTTGTGGAAGTGGGAGCCCCAGCCCCACACACACACATGCATATTTTATTTATAGATTTTCCACTCTCAAAAAGGGATGCCCAGTCTGATAGCCCAGAGTGGGCATGCTGTTACCCCAAAATGAGTCCCCCCCTCCCTCGGAGAATGATTACTTGTTTGGGCATTTAACCAAGTCAATATTGTGATGTTACACCAAGCCTTGGATTACTGCCTCTACGATTCTTGCTTTTCAGTTGCATGGATTTTTCTTTGGGATAGAATCATTATGAATACACTGGGGCTTTGAGGGTTTATTTGATTAAATTTAAATTGCACACTTTTTATTAACTTTGATTATGAAATTGAATGAAAAGCCAAGGAAGAAAATAATATATATATATTTAACTCCACTGTTCAAGAGCTTTGGGCTATGCACAGTCACAAATCTCTTTTCTCAAAAAACTTCTTTGTAGGAAACCAACTTCAGCATATGTTGATGTCAGAAGGTACTCAAAGAAGAGAACATGGGGAAATATTTCATGACTCGTTGGAGGATGGCTTATGCATGTAATGGAGGGCATTGCTCATAGGGTGAATAAGAACACAATATGAGTAAGATACACAATAATGTATCCAATGGGGGGTGGGTTCTGGGACCTGCTGAAGATATGAAAAAGTGTGGGTGAACATGTCCCATACTATTAAATGGCAGCAATGTGAACACACATACTTGAGTGGTCCCTGGTCAAGTGGTCCCTGGTTAAAAAAAAAGGCTGGGAACCACTGTGCCAGACTGTGAAACTAATAATGGCAATCCTTATCCTTGGGTTGTTGTAGGCTTTTTCGGGCTATATGGACATGGTCTAGAGGCCATACCTCACTACCTCTGAGGATGCTTGCCATAGATGCAGGTGAAACATCAGGAGAGAATGCCTCTAGATCAGTGGTTCTCAACCTTCCTGATGCTGCGACCCCTTAATACAGTTCCTCATGTTGTGGTGACCCCCAACCATAACATTATTTCTGTTGCTACTTCATAACTGTAATTTTGCTACTGTTATGAATCGTAATGTAAATATCTGATATGCAGAATTTATTTTCATTCACTGGACCAAATTTGGCACAAATACCTGTTACGCCCAAATTTAAATACTGGTGTGTGTGTGTGTAGTGGGGGGGGGGGGATGATTTTGTCATTTAGGAGTGGTAGTTACTGGGATTTATAGTTCTCCTACAATCTAAGAGCATTTTGAACCCCAACAATGATGGAATTTGGCAAAACTTGGCACACAGAACTCCCATGACCAAAAGAAAATACTGGAAGGGTTTGGTGGGCATTGACCTTGGGTTTTGGAGCTATAGTTCACCTACATCCAGAGAGCACTGTGGACTCAAACAATGATGGATTTGGACCAAACTTGGCATCAATCCTCAATATGCCCAAATGTTAACATTGGTGGAGTTTGGGGAAAATAGACAGGACATCTGGGAGTTGTAGTTACTGGGATTTATAGTTCACCTACAATCAAAGAGCATTCTGAACCCCACCAATGATAGAATTGGGCCACATTTCCCACAAAGAATCCCCTTCACCAACAGGAAATGCCGTGTTTTCTGATGGTCTTTGGCGACCCCTCTGACACCCCCTCACGACCCCCCCAGGGGTCCCGACCCCCAGGTTGAGAAACACTGCTCTAGATCATGGCCATATAGCCCGAAAAAACCTACAACAACCCAGTGATTCCTGCCATGAAAGCCTTCGACAATACAATCCTTATCCTTCCCCTTGGGAAGCAGGGCTCCAGCTCCTACTAGCAATGGCTGTTTCCTTCCTCCTTAGTCACTGCCCTCTTTTGTCTTTCTGTCTCCAGGTTATGGGCATGCTGCTCCAGGAACAAATGCTGGGAAGGCTTTCTGCATGTGCTACGCTGCCCTGGGCATTCCGTTGACCCTGGTTATGTTCCAGAGCCTTGGCGAACGCATGAACACCTTTGTCAAGTACCTCTTGCAACGGATGAAAAAGTGCTGCAGGATGAGGAGCACCGATGTGTCCATGGAGAACATGGTGGCCGTTGGGTTCTTCTCCTGCATAGGGACCCTCTGCATAGGAGCAGCGGCCTTTTCCCAATGTGAGGAGTGGAGTTTTTTCCAGGCCTTCTATTACTGTTTCATCACATTGACTACAATAGGGTTTGGGGACTACGTGGCCCTTCAGACGAAGGGAGCCCTTCAAAAGAAGCCGCTCTATGTGGCGTTTAGCTTTATGTACATCCTAGTGGGATTGACAGTCATTGGGGCATTTCTCAATCTGGTTGTTCTCAGGTTGTTCATGAACATTGAAGAGGAGAGACGGGAGGCAGAAGAGCGAGCCTCCCTGGCAGGGAACCACAATAGCATGATCATTCACATCCAAGAGGACTCCCAACACGGTCGGCCTCGGTATAAGGCCGAAGTTGCTGACCTCCAATCTGATTGTTCATGCATGTGCTACAGGTCCCACGAATACACCAGTCGGATGGTGTCCCACCAAAACTCCTTCAGCTCCAAGCTGAACCTCCAGTACTTTCACTCCATCTCCTATAAGATAGAGGAGATCTCACCAAGCACATTAAAAAATAGCCTTTTCCCCTCTCCTGTCAGCTCCATCTCACCTGGGTTACACAGCTTTACAGATAGTCACCGGCTGATGAGACGGCGGAAGTCCATTTGAAATCGTTTGCCTTTGGAAGTTTTGATCTTTTATTCCTAAGGGTTTGGTGTATGTTTTTTTTAAATGACAACAACAGAAATTCCTTTACAGCTAATAAAGGAAAGAAGAATGCAAAGGGAAAGACCTTCCTCCATTGAAACTCAGCTCTGGAGCATGAAGCATGGATGAACCTTTTTCTTTTTTCCAGCAACGTATGCCTTACATGAAGCCCCCTCCTCGGTAGTCCAAAAAGATTCGAGGTGATGGGAAGTGGGTATCCAAATTCCAAAGTTGCACACATCGCTGGGAGGTTTTTAGTGCCAGTCGGCATGTTTGACCTAACAAACTCTTTCTCTTCTGTCACAAACAGGTCGCTCTGTGTGTGTGTATATGTGTGTATGTGTCAAAGAGAAGATGGGTGCGTCTCTGTGTGTGGAGCGTTTGAGTACGAATGCACACGCACAAATTCTACTACCAGTGCCATGTGACTAACAAGAGTATATATTTAAGCATCAGGTATTGGTTTCCTTTTATACCTTTCTTCCTTTGAAGAATTTGTTTTCTGGCCTGCTTTTGGCTTCCAGAAAAAATAAAATAAAATATTCGGGGCGGGGTGGAAGAAAAGCTGGGAACCCTTTTATTGTTTGCTGAGTCAAGCATGCGCCAGAAACAAGTCAATATATCGAGTGTATCATGATAAGACTTTTTTAAAGTGCTAGGTTTTATTAGATTGTATTAACGATTTTCTTAAAATTTAAAAAAAGAAACAAAGTGGGGGAAGAAGGATTGCTTTTGCTTGCCAGGCCAAATCCTTGCAAAACTATTTTTTTAAAGTAAAATACAGCATGCGTTTTGTAAAACTGATATGCATTATAAAAATACAAGAGGAAAACAAAACCCTATCAATGGAATTCATACGCAACTGCAAAGAACATGGATTTAAAATACATTTGCGTTAATTATGTGTTGTTCTAAGTATTTGTCATGTCCATAGAGTTTTTTTCCTGCATGCATGTATATGTGTGTGTGTGAGTTCATCTACATTACAAAGTTATATCAGTTTGATTGTACTTTGTTGCATTTCATCCTACAGAATCCTGGGATTTGTAATTTGGCGAGGTACCGTGTATACTTGAGTATAAGCCGAGGCACCTAATTTTACCACAAAAAAAGAACAAAAACAAAAACAAAAAACCTGGGAAATTTTACTGACTCAAGTATAAGCTGAGGGTGAGAAATGCAGCAGCACCTGGTAAATTTCAAAAGAAAAATAGATATTACATTAATTGAGGCATCATAGAATCATAGAATGAAAGAGTTGGAAGAGACCTCATGGGCCATCCAGTCCAACCCCATTCTGCCAAGAAGCAGGAATATTGCATTCAAATCACCCCTGACAGATGGCCATCCAGCCTCTGTTTAAAAGCTTCCAAAGAAGGAGCCTCCACCACACTCCGGGGCAGAGAGTTCCACTGCTGAACGGCTCTCACAGTCAGGAAGTTCTTCCTCATGTTCAGATGGAATCTCCTTTCTTGTAGTTTGAAGCCATTGTTTTGCGTCCTAGTCTCCAGAGAAGCAGAAAACAAGCTTGCTCCCTCCTCCCTGTGGTTTCCTCTATACATGGCTATCATATCTCCTCTCAGCCTTCTCTTCTTCAGGCTAAACATGCCCAGTTCCTTAAGCCGCTCCTCATAGGGCTTGTTCTCCAGACCCTTGATCATTTTAGTCGCTCTCCTCTGGACACATTCCAGCTTGTCAATATCTCTCTTGAATTGCGGTGCCCAGAATTGGACACAATATTCCAGGTGTGGTCTAACAAAAGCAGAATAGAGGGGTAGCATTACTTCCCTAGATCTAGACACTATGCTCCTATTGATGCAGGGCAAAATCCCATTGGCCTTTTTTTGCCGCCACATCACATGGTAAATTTCAAAAGAAAAATAGATATTACATTAATTGAAGCATCAGTAAGTTAAATGTTTTTGAAGATTTACATAAAATTGTAATTTAAGATAAGACTGTCCAATTCTGATTAAATCATTATTCTAACCTTCTTCAATGTAAATGTCCTTATGTATCCTTCCAATAATCACCAAATAAACCCTTCGTTCAGCCCGATGCCTTCCCGCCAGGACTCTCACCTGAGTATAAGCCGAGTATAAGCCGAGGGGGAGCAAAATAAATACAATCAATAATTAAAGTGCTATCAAACTGACACAACTGTGTATTGTAGATGCATTCTGTGGCCTAAATCCCATTATTTCTCTGGACTACAGCAATCCCACTGAATCAATTGGATGTATTCATCAATCACCATTCAAAGATCAATCTGATACATCTTCTCTAACTGGGAATTGTCAACAGGATTGTGGCCTTTGTATCCTATGATGGGGAAACGGAGCATTTATATCGTATTATTTCTTGATTTTTTTATTTTTACAGTTTTGTATACTGTTGTCTTCTATTTTATTTTCTCTCTGTGAGTATGTGTGCGCGCTCAACCATTTCCAGCTACCTTTATGTATAGGAACTATATTTTGGGAATGTTTGGATGATATACAGAAGTGGATGTATATTTTTCTTTGCTTATATAAAAAAGCAGGGCATTCCTTGTTTTTTACATGTGAATAATAATGAGAATAGTAATAGGAAGAGGGTGTCTCTCGAATGTTTTTGATTTGTAAATAACAGGAAGCCTTGGTTGGTCTCAGGAAGAACTCAAGACAGTATCCTTGTGCTTTGGCCTCCTAAGAATTTCATGTGAGATCTAGGGTTGTGTTTTGCTTAAACCACACAGTAAAGGGACACACGTGGAGATGTCAAACCCAGTTCTGCATCAAATTTGGATTGCTTCAAGGGGGTTATGAAGTTTCACCCTATATGGTTGGACTGGCCCACAAAGTCAATGAATCTACAAGTTCTTGTATTTTTTTACATGTTCCTTTAACCTGACATAGCTAAAGCGGTCTTCCATAGGTCTAATTTTTACGTGTGCTATGCACAACATGGTACACTTGAAGACTGGCATGATGTGTGATCTGAATCCATTCAGAAGAGTTATGTATGTTGTGTTAGCTCTGCAGTGACTCACAAATGTAACTGATACTGGACACAGTACCTATCATGCAATAACATGCATGGATGATATTGCATTCAGTTTCTTACATTTTCTCTGGCCACTTGTGAGCAGTTAGAAGTAATATGCGTCTGGCAATCCCAATCTCAGATTGTTCTGTGGAAATATATGAAGAACATCTGATGTTGCTTTGCACTGATTATGGCCTACCAACCTAGCTCAGTATTAACTGTTATGATTAGCAATTGCTTTCTAAAGCCTCTAAAGTTGTTGATCTAGTTAGTGGCTTTGGTTATTGAAAAACTGTTCTTACTTCATATCAATATTATCCTCAGAGATTCATTACATTTCTTCTCCAGTTCATTTGAAATAGTAGTGTAAGTATTATTGATGACATTGGCAGGTTTCCACCTCCTCTCCACTGTAGCAATTTTTATAAATCCCATGAATTCCTATAAATCACTTCCAACAGACCTCAGTACCTCTGAGGATGCTTGCCATAGATGCAGGTGAAATGTCAGGAGAGAATGCCTCTAGACCATGGCCATATAGCCCGGAAAAACCTACAACAACCCAATCCCATGACTGCTTTTTCAAGGGCCCTGTGTTCCCGTACTATACCTAATATTGTTAGTTCCTGAAAATATGTATAACACTGCAGGTTAAAATTAAAAGAAATACCAAAGAAGGGAATAAGATAAGGAAAAGGGAAGTGTTACCTAAGTATTTAAAAGTGTGGAGGCTAGTAGGTGAGTTATAAAGGATATAGACTAGATTATAGAATTGTGGGATATTTTTGCCATCCATAATACTGTAGATAAGCACGATTAGCCCAAGCTAGTTACTTGGATAATTAGGAACCTATGAAAAAAAGCAGTCACAATTAGAGATGTGCATGGAATTCATTCCTACCATTTCTGTTTGTTTTGTGTCTTCCATTTCTTTGAAAACATGAAACGGGAACCCCCTCTCCCACAAAACCCTGCTTGATAGAAAAGTCTGCTTTTGTGCTCATCCGAACTTGCCTCCTTGCTTTGGAAAGCGTGTGTGTGTGTGGCAGGGGGTGCAGGCAGGCAGGCAGGCCTGGAGCTTGCCTGCATGCCGTGTCACACATACACTCTCAGTGTGGCGGGGCATGTGTGGCAGGGTGCGCAGTCAGGCTCGGAGTGCACCTACAACTGAGCATCTGCAACAGAGTAAGAGGCAGTTAGCTACAGGCACTGGAAGGTGCACGCGCTTTCCAGGTCTGCCTGTACACCGTACCGCACACACACTCTTGGTCCAAGGAGAGTGCATGTGTGGCATGCAGGCAGGCCTGGAAAACATGCCTGAACTCTAGAGTAAAAACAGCAGGTGCCAGGTAAGAAGAATGCACACCAGGAAAGGGAGCCTATGGGTGATAACCCCCCCCCCCATATTGGTCCAATTGGGGGGTTTTGGGAGGCTCATAAAAGTGGATCAAGGCCCCCAACGAAAGCCAAGACATGAAACAAGGCAAGGTTTACCCTGAATGCATATGTCTAGTTGCTGGAGGATGTAATTCAGAGGAAGGAACTAGCAAACTCACTTCTCAGTAATCCTTGACATCCTATATAATTCCCAGGGTTACCTTAAGTTGACTGGCAGTTTGGAGACATGCATAGACATACACACAATATTCTTGCAAACATCCAGAGTCAGGTTGAAACATTTCTTCCAAGCCTTTTTGCTAGGGAAAGGCAAACAGAAAGGAGCATTATCATTTGTCCATTGTGTTGATGTTGTGGGGTTTTAAGGTGAATATTTTAATGGCTGTCTTTTATTGACAGGGATCTTAAATGAATTTGAGTCAAAGAGTCACCAATTTAAGCATTGTAGAATGTGGCATCATTTCAGGATTTGAAGTAACATAAGAGAAACTGCCTTTTCAAAAGCCTCCATCTGAATTTTCAATTTTTTAATTGGGAAATTAGGCAAGATAAAACTTGACCACAATAGAAGAAAGCAATGGAGACACTACAGAGGGAAAAATGATTAAAGATTGAATGGAGATCTATTATGATTTAATTCACTAACCCAACATCGAGCTAAAACTAAAATGTTCAGTTCCTTTTAAATGGGGATTATAATAATTGAAGTAGCGAAATTTAAATCAAATGTGTAATTTCCTTTACAAAGTGAGAGGGGAGAAAATCTGATTAAGGCAATGCACGAAATGTTATCAGAAATGCTCCTTTCAGTGAGAAGGAGTTCATCTCAACATTATTTATTATTACCATGATGGAGATACTGCCTTGGAGTAGAACAAAATGAGTTATGAAGACATTCAATTACAGAGATCCTAGTTTTTGTTACAATAGTCCAGATTTCTAGTCCTTGTGGATTCAATGAAAATTTGAAATGCAGTTGGAGTAAAGTCCTAAATAGTCACAGCAGTCAATTAAAAGGAATAATTGGTTGCAGAAAAATGGAGGGAAACATTTTACAAGGTCTATATTAACTATAAAAAAAACTTTATCACAAGTATAGGTGAGGCTTCCAAATTTCTAGTGTCAGTTAAACAAGAAATAGTTGAGGTTGGTTTTTTGAACTGCAGCTCTGAGAATGACCTAAATAGCCATTCTTCTGAGCTCCAAATTAAGTTACACTTCATGTCCTTGACATTTTGGGATGAATAGGAGTGAGATGATTTGGAACCAATTAGAGAAACAGTTTGGAGCAAAGGAATGCAACTTCATTTTTATTTCATTTTTCTCAAAAGCATACCCTATTATAAACCACTGATGCTCTGCCAGAGGTTCATTGTTTTGTGGCCTCACAGAGAGATACAAGGCAGCAAAGAACCAAAATTATAATTTTGGTGATGGGAAGGCAATGCTTGCAGTCCTTGGCTTCTTATTGTTGTCATTTATTTACCATCAAGATGGCTTTGATTTATGTTGATCTTATGAATGAGAGACTGCCATGTATCCCTACCATCAGCAGGTCTTGCTTACTCAATTACTCAGGACAGATCCTCAGGTCTTGCAAGCTCAGGGCTACAGCCTTTCTTTATTGAATCAATCTGCCTGTGATGTGGTCTTCCTGTTTTCCTTCTGCCTTCCATTTTTTTTCTGAGCAGTATTGTTTTTTATGAAGACTTATTATGGCTTCTCATGAGAGTTCATACATCATTTACTGTGTTGTTGTGTGAGTTTAAGGCATTTTCAATACATGGCAATTCCAGGATGAATCTATCATGAGATTTTCTTGGTGAGGTGTGTATTGAGGGGGTTTGTCTTTATCACCTTCTTCTCAGGCTCACCAATTAGTTTCCATGGCTGAGCAGGGTATTGAACTAATGTACAAATTATTGTACTATACAGGCTGTTTTGATTTGTTGTAGGATCCATTTATTTGTCCTTTTGCTGGTCCAACAATCCAACATTTTGAGGGAATTGATGTTCTTGCTATCAGCTTTCTTCACTGTGCACAAATGCGCTCTTCAGAGGTAACAGTAAAGATTTC